GAGGGAAGGTTTAAGTTGGACATCAGGAGGCGCTACTTCACGGTCAGGGCGGCTAGAGTCTGGAACCAGCTTCCAAGTGAGGTGTTGCAGGCTCCCACCCTGGGGGTTTTTAAGAGGAGGTTGGATGACCACCTTACTGGGGTCATTTGACCCCAGTGCTCTTCCTGCCATGGCAGGGGGTTGGACTAGATGATCTGCTCAGGTCCCTTCCGACCCTAGAAACTATGAAACTATGAAACTATATTTGTATCTCCATTTTCAAAGAAAATATATGGTCTCCAATACAACCACTAAAGTATTTGGTTCAGTACAAATAATAAGGTTTAATTATTATGCTAGGTGAAATGTATGTAGAATACACATGGTCAGACTAAAGGAGTGAATGGTTCTTTCTGTTCTTAGTATATAATCTGCCTTACTTACTGATTTTATTTGCTTCCCTCCACAAAAAGTTGATAAACCCTCCTATAATTGACAATGCTCTCAACAAAGTTACTCTCCAAACTCACATGAATGTCATAAAGGAAGGGAATAAGCAAACATGGTAATGCGTCTTCTTGACGATATGATGGTTTCTACAAAACTTGCAGAATAAGAATGATGCAATGAAGAGCCACAAGAAGTCTTGTTTGTGTAACAGCTGTGCCGAAAAGAAAGATGAAACAAAACAGCTAATACTGGATTAATACCCCTAGATAATAAAAGGTTTTATGTAAGATGTTGGAAACCTGGAAACCATCTGTGGCAGAAATCTGGAGCAGGCTTCAATCAACTAGGTAAGTCCTCAACACTACATAGATGTTCAGTACACTTGCTTGTATGCTTTCGTTAAAGAAGAATTATGTAAGGAAGTTAACTAATTCCTATGAGTACCCATCAAAATACTATCTAGGTTGGAGTCAAGGCTTTTGAAAAACTGGTGGTTACAGGGATGGATGATTTTCATTCTTATGAATCTAATCACTTACTCTGTGAAGCCAAAACATTTTTAAGTCATGTTAGAGATTAAAATAAATAGTAGAGTTAGGTAAAATTAGATATTCAATTTCTACATTCAGATAGATCACTGAAGGCAACATAAGTCTGTTTTTCCAACATACCATAAAAAGGATTCTGGGTCTTGCGATTCATATTTCTATTCTATGTCACTACTACGCAGACACTGCTCTTGGATTTAGCACATAAAAACAGGTCTGGAAACTTTATGAGGAGTTATTTCTCAAGTGCTTTCCCATAAACTATAGAAGTTATATCGACTTTTAAAGTATCATATTTACTTGCATATGAGACTGCCCCCCCTCCCGCATTTATCATGAAGGAAAAAGTTTTGTCTTACATTTGCTTACAAAGAAACCTCATTACATTGTCTATCATTAAACTGCTGCCAAAAGCAGGCTGTGCCCAGTAATGGAAACCAACTATGAAGTTGATTAAATGTAGCCAACAATGAGCATGACCATAAAAACCACATGGTCCATATTGGGCAAACATATTGATAGGCATATTGATAAGAACCTACCACGAGGGTAGGTTGGTGCAGCCAACCTGAATAACACACATGGTACCCCATTGAGTACACTTCCCCTCAGTGCCGACATTTTTTTCATGTCATAGTGAGCCACTACACTGAATACATTTCAACTTCCACAGCTGAACTATACCCTTCCTTCCCCTTTCCAATTATTCCCATTTCTTCACTAGCCTCAAGTGTCTGGTAAACATCACCAAACAGGGCCTCAGACAGCTCATCCAGAATCCCTCCATCACTCCCTTGCTCAGCCTGTCACAGTGTGATCAGTGTGGCCCTGCCCCCCATGAGGTGGAGCCAGACCAGGTTGCCCTGTGCCTCATTTGCATATAAGTTTTTGGAGGATCCCAGAACTCATGATAAGAACACCTGGTTCCAGTCAGAAGTGAGGGGCTAACTAGCACATACAGCATGAATCCTTTTCAGGGTGGGGGGGCTATCTTGAGTAGACACACAGAGCAGTACTGAGCTATGGGGTCACCATGGCTAGAACACTGCTGACTACTGCAGCCCAGCCCAATGAACTACAATAGATGGTAAATCATGAACCTCTTGACCTTGGACTAATTTAATGCATAGTTTGTATTATATATAAATAGGTACAGAAAAGTGCTGCTTAAAAGTGTGCTTAAGGAGTATTTGTGCTAAAATTTACAGCCGTTTCAAAAAAGATAAAATGTAGGGCTGTGTGAAGCTTTCGTCGGTGATTCAATTCAGCAGGCATTTGGCCCAAGTTTCAGAGGCCAAGACTGAATCAAAATCAGAACCCTCCAAATTGATTCGGACAGATTTGACGATTTGGACATAGAAGCAGCTTTAAATGTTTTTTCTACACACCTCAAAGTACCAGCCAGATCATGAATGCTGAGATGCTGGGGCAGATGTAGCATCCCATGAAAGCATGAGGGGGGTCCCCGCGCGCTTGGCAGTGGGCCCCGAAGTAGACCAGAAGCACTTCTGGTCTGCTTCTGGGTCCGCTGGGAAGCGTGCGGGGGCCCCCCCAGCTCGGCAACTGGTGCCTTCTGGGTCGGGGGGGTGGGAACCAGAGTTCCCCATGGCCTATCGCCAAGCTGGGGGGGTGGAGGGGGGCTCTCCTGTGTCCTTGGCGGCAGAACCGGAAGTGGACCAGAAGTACTTCCAGTCCACTTCCAGGTTCACCACTGAGCACGTGGGGGGGTCCCCCTGCACTCCTGTGGGATGCTCCATCTGCCCCACTATCACAGTGTTCACAAGGTACACAGAAAAAAATTGAAAGCTGTGTCTATATCCAAATCACTGATTCTCCAAATTGGCACCAAATCTTCAGATCTGGATTCAGCCGAATCGAATCACGACAATGAATCAAATCAACCAGTCAAATAATTGTCCCCAATTTGGGCGAAATCCAAATCGAATATGGCCTGTTTCGCACACCCCTAGTAAAATGTATCAACTGTGGATTGTTATCCAAAACAGTACCATTAACATGCCTACATTAAACTGAAATATATGAACCACTGTTTCAGTTTTACTGTACGATGGCCTAACATGATCTCAGTGGCAACCTCACATGCTCTCACAACAATGTACAATTCAATGGAAAACATTTAGAGACAATAAACTTCATTAGATGCCTACTTTAAATGCATACAATGGACTATTTTCTTGCAATTGCTAATTCAGTGAGATACAACTAATCTGGAATGAAATGCTCCAAAGCCCTCACTACCACTCGCCATATAATTACTTTCAAAATGTATAGGTTTTTTTAGCATTAGTTAAAATATTTAGTATTATAAAAGGAATCTAACATTTTGAACTGATAATCATTAGAGGCAGCAAGTCAAATCTAAGTGCAAAGAAACAGCTTCCATCTAATAAACAGGAATCCCTCTTCCCTCTCATTTATATTTGTACAAAGTAGTTTGCAGCCTATGGATCATTCTTTCATTATCAGTGCTAGTAGTGGCAAAAAGGCTATTTCTTTAATATGGGAAGTTTCCTTAAATGGACAATAAAAACTAGAATTTTTAGTTTTTATTTTCTTTTCAAGCATACTTTAATACTTTCAGGATTTTAGATTTTATGTATACAATATATTGAAATTAAGAACTGTACTACGCATTATAAACTGCAAATAATTTATCTGTCAATTCACCCAATTGAAGCTTGTCTGTCCAAATTACTAGGCAACATGTCTGGTATTTCTATGCAGATAGATGACCCCTCCACTCAGGAATTCCCAGATGGAGACCCATGGTTTTGGGAATTCCCGTGAGACGTGTACTCAAGTGGCCCACACAGACTTTCAGTTCTCTTGTAGAGCGCATTGATTTTTTATGAAAATCAAAAGAAAGAAGCTCCTTGTGTGTTCATCCCAAAACATTAAAATTTAGAAACAGTATTAATGGCATAAAGTTGAACACTGTATTTAATTACATCTCTCTCCTTTACCAAAAACCATCTGAGTTTGACAGAAACTTTGACTGAAAGGGTCATTTTAAACCAAGTATCAAAAACTTACAAGACTACTTCAACTCCTTTTGCTGTACTTAGTGCTGTTGCAATACGACTGAATGAAAAACAGTAACTGTAGCACCCTGAAGTGGATGTGCTCAATTTGAAAACAAACCAAACTGCTACATCACCTTTGCTCACGAAGTACATGCTGTTATTTGATGTACACAGAAAAGTAAATATAATATTGGAATTTAAACTCCCCTGGTTACTGACATGCATGCTTTTCATATACCTTATCTTTGTCTTCCACAACATCTGCCAGCACATCATCAGGGTCCAGGATCCCTCCATCTGTATACTCCAGGTGGTGAATATTCACCCAGTAAGCAGGGTCCTAGGGAGAGGGGAAAAACAGACACTGTCAAGCTTTTTTAAAAATTGATAGTTTGATCAAAACAAATATTCCATTAGACTAGTCTATATTTTACTTCCCTCTTCTCTACTAAAGGGAAGAACAAAAGAGAATCTACGTTTGATCAAATTTTTCACCTGGAAATAGTTTAATAATATTGGTAGGGGTTTCTTCAGGAAAAAAAAAATCATACTCTTTCTACCAATAATATATTAAGCAACATGATCCTAAGCATTGCTCTGTCATACACTTTAATTCTTTGTTTACCCAATATAAACAAGGCCAGATTATAGTTATATATATAAAAAAGTAGATAAATCAAGCTGCTTCACTTCATTTTAAAAAGAGGATTTACTGTCTTACAAACTTATGAGGTTTTTTGTTTTTGTTTTTTAAATTATGTCCCTCCCCCAGGAGTATTTCCTGCATATGAAAGTAATATCCATCTCCCAAAAAGAGAGTTGATCCATGGATCTCTAGAGGCAAACTGCACAAAATAGTTTTCCCAACCAAGGAGCTTGAGTTATCTATGCAACTCAACAAGATACAATAGGAAACAAGTTTCAGACCTCTAAAGATAATGCAGTCCTCAAATCCTTAAACATAACTACTCCCTTTCAATAGAAGACTTAACCCTTCTTCCCCCACAGCAAAAGGACAACTCCAGTCCACTTTATATCAAGAAAGGCCATAAACATACAACTGTGACAGAACACTGAATCAGCAGTTAGTGATCAATAATGTTGGCAAATATTATGCTGACTTGCTCATCCTTTGTGTAGCAAGCTAAAAAAAATGTAAAATGACAACATGCTTAAACTACATAAGAGGTGTAGATGAAAAGAGAAGTGTTAATGCCTTTGAATTAAAGCAAAAAACAAAGAATGCCATTATATTCTTAATTCATGCCAGTCTACATGAAAAAAAGAGTTCAGATATTCAGTACAGGGGACAATTCTAAAAGTTGAAAGGAAGGTTAAAGGAAATACCATTACTGATAGATGAAATCAGCACTCATAGAAATTCCCTGACTACAATGGGCTGAGGAGCAACAGCACAGAGCTGAGGACAGAAAGTTAAACTGTGACTTTCCCTGCACTCTTGCATCATGTTGCATGGTTATAATGTCAGACTTCCAACTTAAACTGCTCACTGATTCAGAGAGAGAGAGCACACAAACATGAAATGATGTTGGAATATAGGCCCTGTGTTCCTAGTCTCAATCACCCTCTTCTAGTCTTGCCTCCCACATTTTCTGCTCCCTTTAACAGCCTTTCCTTCTCACCTTATCCCTTTACCTTAACACTTAAGACAAAACTAGAAAAAAACAAAACAAAAGAAGTTAAATCAACATAATACTTGACAGCTGTGCTGCATCCTTTTCCTCCACTCCTCACCTATGTCTGTAGACCACTAGGTCCTTGAACACAGGCTCCAGCCCCTACCCCAAATTGCGGCGATAGCTGCAACTGTTGCCTGCCCCCCATGCCTACCACCTCTGCACCCTATCTTCCCTCTACTACAAAGCCTCTGTTCCTCTACCTGCCCCTGTTCCTCCCCTTCTTACCTTTGCTTCATGCCAGTAGGCTTTGTGCATGGCTGCAGCTGTGCTCAGTGCTCCAGGCTAAAACAGGAATGGAGCCTGCCAACATGAAGCAAAGGCTAGGGGTAAGTGGAAGACAGCAGAGGCGGGAGGAGGCAGGGGAACCCAAAGGCTGGGGGGGCAGTGATGGTAGAAGACAGGCACAACCAAGGGGCAGGCTGCTTGACTTCCCTGTACCACCTGCCACCCCAATGCCTGCACTCCTGCAGTGGTGGTGGGGGGGGGGAGA